CAGCATTCTCTGTGTAGCCATGATCATTGTGAAATTTACTGTAAGACTTTAAACAGAGAGGAAGTTTTTCCTGCATTCCCACGGGATAATTATGCCCGTATTACGAATTACGAAAGTATCCTAATGACATCGGGATGGCAGGTGTATAATTTAAAGTGATAACTAACAGTTTGGTAAACAGGTGTGCTAATTAGGAATTTAATTACCTCTTATTTAAACGGAATCAGTTGTCGGGAAATTATACATTACTTAGGAACGGAAATCGTTTTTGTTTTTTATGAAATATTAATTTATTGTTCAGTGCTAACCTGCTAATGTTGTAATGTTCGCTTTTTAAAAAATACCTTTTTAAGAAAGCGGGAAAACATTAAAATACACACATGATTATGTGAAGCACTTTTGGTCATGCCTGCTCAAATGTTGAATTCTGTTTACAACTTTCAATTTGTATAATAGAAAAAATATTCATAATCATTACTTATAGTGTTCCTGATGCAAAAAATATTTTAAAATAAGATATTATTTTTTGTAAATTTACAGTGAATTATAAAAATATTAATAATATTATAGTTTTAAATTTTTTGTTGCAGTTCATTTTAAAGTTTCATTTCCTTATGTATTGATTGCATCATTTTCCATTCATGTATTTTTCAAAGAACATACTATTTACTGTTTAAGATCAAAGTCATGCCTGAATGAGATTTTATGAGCGGATAATCAAAAGTAGTAAAAATGAAAGCATCCGCTAATAAGACCACCTAAAGTATTGAGAATAGACTGTGGTAATATAACCGGTGACGTGACGTTGTTATGACGTTACCTGCCTTACTACAGGATATACATGCAGACACGATCGCTATCTCGGAATTTACACACCGTGTCTGATTATCCAAAGGGTCACTCGGAGAGCACATAGGAAAGGGATGATTTCTGGTAAGCCATGCTCTATGGATCTTCACTTATCGCGATAACCCTCCTGCGACAATCGCATTCTGAAGGATGTTCCCTGTGCTGCTGCTTCAAATTCTCGATTTCTTATCAGCAATTTTCTCAAACATTTTTTGGCCATTTTCCAGCCAAAGTTTGAATGGTTGATACAAGGGGAAAAAAGCCAGCAAAATAATTAGAGTTACCGGTATTATACATTACCATTTTATTATTATACTGTATTATATGTTTAAAATATATATTGTAGTTGGTCACATTGATAACCTACTCAAATATTGCGATTAATTTATGCAGTTTATGTAGTGGTACAGTTGGACAGAAAATAGATTACCTTTTATTTGCATAAGGTGATGTCATCTAGTGTAATAATGTGAACATATTTACAAATTATAAAAAAAACAAAACAAATATAAACCAAGGCTAAAATGCATGTGATAAGAGAAATAGTTACTGCAAGTTTAAAGTCAGAGTCTGGAAGAAAACGTTTTTTTGTTGTACAACTGATTTTTCACGAAAACCATATTTGACGAGAAACTCGGGAGTGGTTAATGAGATACAGATTTTTTAATGTTTAAAAACTGGGGAGGGGGGAAATTGTTCCTTTTATACTACTGTAGCAATTTGTGCAAGATGAAAAGAAATATGTATATCATGATTTAAAGGAAGGATTGATTACTTGTTATAGGAAATTGCAGGGTTTTTAGAAAACTGTCAACAATTTGAAATGAAGAACCTAAAGTGAAAGGTGATTATTTCTTTTTTTTTTTTATAGAATTTACAACCGTGTTCTCTTTTTTTTCCCACAGATGTTTGGTAAGATAGAGTGGACATCGAGAAGTAACGCATTGCGCCGGGGTATGATAAAACTCTTCTCCAAATCACATTACAAGCGCTGGAAGAATGAGATAAGCACGCTGGAAAAGATCGCATTTGCAGGAGGGCATCCTAATGTATTAACGAAGTACTGGCATTCTGATAACCACAAAACAATTGTTATTGGCGGTCCACCAAGCACACAGTCGAGCATCTTGGCAGTAGAAAGGTAAATTGTTTATACTCTGACTGAACACTAATTAGTTTCGTTACTCATTATTGCATCACTTTAGTGGTACTAATTTACCTTCATCATCATCCGTCACATTTGTTTGTGGTTCTTTGTCAGATATTTCATCAGCACATGCTCTTTGTGTACTGGATACAGTACACCATGTATACATCGAGCATATTATAATATCACAATGCTTGCAGTTCGTAAGGGAATTGGTACAATGTAGGAACAATACTTGAAATCTTTATCTGTGTTAAGATATATAGGAAAAACATTAAATTATAACATTGAATGTTCATATAGGCCTAAAAGATTCCTTCCACTTTCAATTAGACAAAGGTTAATAAAACAATTCATCTTTTGCTAATTACGCTCGTCGCTGCCTTGAGATCTCCAAACATAAGATATATGTATATGATGGATGGTGACCCCGAAGAGTATTTGTGTCTTTATTTTTGCCTATCTTCCTATCCATGTCAGTTTTGTCATAAATAAATATACATAAAAATAAATAAATAAATAATTGATCTTATTTGCTAAATAAGAAAACAAAAACTTTTTTCCAGCCCTCATCTGACGATCTTTAAAAAAAAAAGAAGTTCACGAAACAAGGTATAAAAAAGTCTTGCCTGAAAGACACCGGTTAATAAAACAATTTAACTTTTGCTGTTTTGAAAATAAATAAGACTTTTTGTAATATTTATATCCATTTCTAAAAACTACTTTAGGTGCTTGAGATAATATAAATGCAGTAGACAGTGTGAAAAATAAGTTACCTAAACAACGACCACAATAAAAGATTGTCAAATAAATAATATAAATCCTAGACGCATTACAGAGAAACAAGGGAAAACTGTTATTAGAAAGAATATTAAAACAGTATTATTATTATTATTATTATGATTATTATTATTATTATTATTATTATTATTATGATTATTATTATTATTATTATTATTTATTTATTTTTTAATTAATTAATTAATTTTTTATTTATTTATTTTTTATTTTTTTTATTTGATCATATAGTATTACTATTGCATTTGTTAATTGATTGAATGCCATTTAAACTTGTTTTTATTTTCAATGAAAAGCAAATAATTTGGATGCCAAGTTAGCATATCAAATATTGGATGTTAGCTCACATACACTGCACAGTATCCTTCACTTGAAATGTTTCCAAATACATTACAGATCGTCCAGTTGTGTTTCTCAATTTTAATATAGATTAATAATTGGGATCAATTCTGCTTTAAACTCAAGTTCCCTCCTTGATTTAACCGAGGACTTTATCTGAGAAAGAAAATGCAAACAGAATTTTTGTTGGCAAACACTCTTTAAATTAATTACTTGGGATGGTGGGATGGAGTACAGATTAAATGCAAGCTATAATGAAAGTTGTTAACTTGTAGGAGTATTAATCTTATTTAATATAACAATATTGTGAGTATTACTAGCAACTTATAGTCATGCCTCTAAAACATAAGTCACTGAAACAGTTTAAAATAGTTCTCTTTAATGGTGAGGGAATGAAATATTTAAAAAATAAGCACAAGTATGTGGAATGCATTCAATTTTGGCTTTTCTCAGCATAATGCACAATATATAAAATATTGTCATCATAATATTATAATCAACACCATCATCATCAATCATTATCGTCATCATCATCATCATCATCATCATCATCTTATCATTGATATCAGCAACATCATTATCGGCATCATCTTATTATTGCTATCATCATCATATCGCATCATCATCATTATCATTGTCATCATCTCATCAATGTTTGTTGCCCAAGCAGCCACCGATCAAAAATCTAGGGTCTGCTTTCTATATTTTTTGCAAGAGTTCACAATGCTGAAAGTATGAAAATGACACTTTAAACATGCAACATAACCATGGATTTTAGCCTACTGTAGTGATTCCCATTTTACTAACCAATTTGACCTGTATTCATTATCATCGTCATCATCATTGTCATTACTAATATAATATGATGATTTTTATGTGCATGACCGACGTTTGCAAGCGCATTTTTAATGAAAGGAAATAATTTCACAAGGATGTGGTTTTTTTTATACAGAAAAATTAAAAAGTAAAATGTATGATCTGAAATCATAAAAGAAATTTGACTGCATTGAAGGCTTAAAATTGTCTGGAAAGTTCAATATTATTTTCAAATAAAATATATTTTATATTAATTCAGTAATAATATATAATTGAAATAAAATTGATATTTGTTTCATTTATCCTTTCTAAACACAATGTGTTTTCTCATAAAAAAAAAGAACTTAACTACGCCTCGTCATTTCCCTGTGTGTGCACCCACCCTTCTCCCCCACCCCCAACACATCGCAGGGGCAGATCCAGAAATGTCCGAAAGAGGCCACAAGGGGCCAATCGAGAGACAACAATATCCTAGGGGGTCCGGGTCCGGATTAGAACCCCCTAAATCCACCCCTGTGTACATTCCTCAGTAATTGTTTTACATGCTGCATCACCTTTATTTCATAGGAAGTGGAAATATAGGCCTACTGGTAATGTAGATATAGACCTGTTCTTTCATTTTACTCTATATGTTCACCTTCATTATGGAGAAATAGGCCTTGACAGTACCCACCTGGTCCCTCTATGTATATACCTGTCACTGATTATCTATAAAAACAATCATCTTACATCAGGCAAAACTGATTGGACAATCCAGCAACGATTGAACGTTGACGGACAAAGTTGAAAATCATTTCATTCACTACCCGAGGCAGTTTTGTTTCAAATTTGTGCACGGTTGGAATTCCGGCTAGTCTCGGAATGATTAAAACACCGTTGAGAGCAAATACTATTTGAAATGAGGAAATAAAAGATTGATTAATCATAAATGAATTTATGATCAAATTTGAATTAGACGTTAGTTTTGAGATGAGTTTATTTGATTGGTCGGCAATGGGTGGTATGTGATGTTGTTTGCGGTATTTGTGCTTAGATGATTTTACTCTGGTCTGGTATGTCGTGGTTCAACGCTCGTTCGTTCATTTTACCCAGGTGTTCAAATTTGATGATTAGTCAATAGTGATTGACAGCATTAACTTGCACCCGTGTAAGAATTGATAGAACACTTTATTTCTGAATTTTGCTGGCTCTTTGCTCCCTATTTTTGGTGATGCATTGTAAATTTCATACAAAAACTTCCCCATGATCTAGTCGGACTTTTTAAAACAGATTCAGTACATTTTTAGTTGGTGATTTTAAAGATTATATCAATAATAATAAGTAATATATAAGATCTAAATGAAAGCAAATATATGCTCTATAATCCTTTGTTTATTGTTATTGTTTGTAAGATCTTGTTTACATACCATGAAAGGCCAAATAAAAATATTGATTGATTAATTGATTGATTGATTGATTGCTTGACTGATTGAGTATCCATCATTTAGTGATATATCAGCATTCTTTCTTTTTCCAGATATCTATGTACACCAGTATTTGAGTTTGGAAATCTACGTAATTTGCTTGAAGAATATCAGGGTAAGCTGACGGATACAGACATTCATAAGATAACCAATCAGATTACAGATGGCCTCTGCTTCTTGCATATGAGGAATATCCTGCACAATAGAATTCAAGCAACAAACATCATGATTGGTGGAAGCTTAAAGGTAAATTGATCAACCATACCTATTTTTTAATGTTTAACAAACTATAGAGAAAAACTATTCAAAATATTTGTCATAATTATTACCATCTTCAGTCCTGGTAATCTACCTAATTATTATTATTATTACATATTTTCATCATAGTATTATAAACATTTATCTGTACAATCATCATCTACATCGTCATCCTATTCATCGTAATCATAGTATTGTCATCATCATCATCATCATCATCATCACTATCATGATCATAATCAGCATCAACTCGTCATCATCACCATCGTTATCACACCACCACCATCATTATCATGTCAGCATGTAATGTAATGTATTTAAATTTATATAGCGCTTTATACCAAAACGGTCTCAAAGCGATTGAGGTGTGAACTAGCCCCTGCAGTAACTTGCTTTTCCCCTAAGGGTCTCTTTGTGTCTGAGCTACCCAGTAAACCAGCTCCAGCTACTTTCATCTGTCCATCATCTATCTCCCTAACATTTCAAACAACTTACTACAGTATTATCACCATCCACACATTAGGAGAGCTGTGAAATTATAAATATAAACATTCAATTAAAAAAAAAAAATGAAATTTTGCTACAGTATTAATATTTTATTATCTCTAATTTAACTGCTGTCATTAATATTGTAAAATATATGACCTTTTTTGTTATAACCACAAAAATGTTTACCTGCCCAAAAAAACTGCCCCTTAGTGAGCTTGTTGGTGAAACTATATCCACAAGAATGGAAGTGCCTTAGGGAAAATAAAATATTGTGATTATATTTCGATACTTTTGTTTTCATTTGAATTTCTTGAGGCTCACATCACCTTCAATTAAGCTTAATAACCTTTTTTGAAAATATTTATTGTTCATATAATGAATTTTATTTTGTATGTTATTGGTTCTGGCATAAATTAAGAAGAAATTTAAGAACTCAGTGTATGTAATTTTCGGAATAGCTCAAAGGATTTTCAGAAACCATGGGGTCCAACGATAAAGTTTGAGATAAATCAGAGCGTATGAAATAATTTTATAAAAAGTGATGCAAGCCATCGTGATTCATTTTTCATATTTCAAACTTAATTTATTTTCAAGAAAAATCTAGAATAGAATCTGAATTCACTTATAAATACTTAGGTACCAATTATGTTGAGATTAAACAATCAACTTATATGCAGAGATTAACCAATCACAGTTTCAGAAAGGATTTACTTTGATGTTTTTGAGGTCTATTGTTTTGTAATATTGTAGTATGTAGTATTATATTGTAATCAAATGAGGCTTTACATGAATATAGTAGCTTCTTTGGAGTCTTTAGTTCATTGTAGACAGACATCGAGTCGAATAGAAACATAATCATGTTGTATATTATGTCTACCACTGATGCGTGAAATTAATATTTTTATACTCAAGAGATGCATGTAATTTATTGCCTACCCTACTGAGTAACATTAATGTTTTCATTCGTATACCTGGGTGAAAAATTATAATTTTTCAATTGTTCATTCAATTCAAATAAAGATTTTTCCATTTTACAATGTTTGAATGGAACAGAAAAAACCTTATTCTAATAAATTGATTAATTTCTCTTGTTCGCTACAAGACACAAGAACATAAGAATTCCACAGGAAAGTAATAATGGCAAAGCCAATAAAGAAACATAGCATATCTTGCAAATTATGAATTTCCCGATATATTAATAGAAACTATAAATATGAATATAGTCATTTTGTTCATTCATAATAATACATTAGTTTGCAACTCATTAGTTTTGAAAAAGCAATTATTATAGTTGTGAACCATGCAAGATAGAAATTAGTACACAAATTTTAGATTAATGCATGAAAAATTAGGTCTTGTAAAGGCTAGAATGCAATTTTTGTAGCTACTTTAATAATGAAAATTATTTGAAAGAATTGGAATTGGAAAATAACATTAGAGCAAAATTTGATGACATCAAAATTGACATATAATTATTGTAATTGTTAATAATTGGGCAATAATTATTATAGCCATTAACTGTCACCTTATAATGATCACACAAACTTTTAATTTATGAGTGCAGCGTTGGGTAATGAAGAGTGATTGAGATCTTCATCTAGTTTTGGTACCTAGTGATTTATATTATAAACTTTACTCTTTTGTCAATCATGAAAATTATAGATAAAAGGGTAAAATCAATACTATGAATTTCTGAAGTCAAAAAGTATAAAACAGTACATAAAAAAAAACTAATTTTGTTTAAAAAAGTGCCACTAAGAATTAATTTGCCCCGGAGAATTTGAGTCATGTGATAAAATCCAGTTCGATTGTGTGTCCTCGTTCTAATTGAGACGTATGTTGACTCATGCATTACGAGCTCGTACATGCAGCACGACCACAAATGTCTAGTCTTACTTTGAAAGCCCACAAAAGTTAGCATCAGCCCTAATTATCATAATGTTTTTCAAAAATGTCTGTAATGTTATACTAATCGGTTCTATATATAACTCATTACTAAGCACCTGTTAACTTTTAAATACATTTGTCTTGTTTTAAACAATAATACGGAATTTAATTGACAAGGTTCATGAGGGATTGTGGGTAGGCATGACACATCTGAGCAGTCAGTTTATGATTGATTGAAATTATTATAGTGGAAATGATTAAGGCTTTAGTTATAACTTGACAATATTGTGTTATAATCGAGGGATATTGAGAGACCTAAGAGGCATTGTATAGGGTTACTCTATAGACCCAGGGTAAAAACCTAAAAATAAATTGGATTTATACTTTATTATGAAGATAAATATTTTCAGATTCAATTTTATTTGTCCAATATGGAAATAGCTGTGAGTACTTTTTCGGGTCATTAAAAATTTTACTAAAAACATTTCAGCATGATTCTATTATATTTAAATACTTGTGGGTGTTGAGGTATTATTTTCCTTCATAATTTAATATTTTATTTTTCAAAAGCATACAACATATAAAACATAGTAAAAATAATGGAAAAATATTAAAATATTATGTATATTTCAACATTTTCATATTATGTAGAATATCTTTTTTGTGTGTTTTCAATATTTTTGTCGTGATGACCATCGTAATTGTCATCATATTTGCTGTTTTCGCCATCATGATTGTCATCATCGTTATCATCATCATCTAATATTTTCCACATTATCATGACCATTATCACCATCATCATCACTTATATCCTCATCATTATTGTAATCATCATCATCATTATTGCTGTCATCATCAACATCATCATCATTATCATCGTCGTCATTGTTATTGTCTTATTCTTGTGAATTGAAAAATGGTTACATTATTTGTGGGGACAGACACTAAACCAGTGGGTTTAAAGTTTGCATAGTCCTCCCTCTTAAGTTTTTAACTTGTCTTCTTGTGAATTATTGGCATTGTACTGTATTTATAATTTTTTTTATTTCTTTATACATCTGCGAAGCAATACAATTTTCTGTATTTTTACATGGCCAATTAAAATTTATTAATCTCCTTTCTAGATTTTCCAAGCAATGGTCCCTTCTATATTATAACTAAAACTTAGAATTCTGAAACTCCATTTTTGGAAATAGAAAATCTTTACAAATAATGTCAATTTATATTTTGACATTACCATTACTAAGAGGATTAAAAATACAAACCCACGCAAAATAGTGATCTTAATTCATACTTTAGATAAGCAGTCTACACGTTAAGCTCCATTTTTTTTACTACATCAAGTACGTAATTCCATCTTTAAAAATATGTTTTGCAATCTAGGCCTATGTCTATTTCAGGTCCAAAACCATGAGTTACATGTGACTAAACAGTTTCTGTTTTATTTTTGTTATGTAAAAAGTGAATCGAAGATTTTTCTGTCTGTATTCAGCCCATTAAGGTTTTTATATACTTACTATATTTTATTTATTCTTTAGTCATTCTACAGATGCCAATAGACAGATCCTCCATCAATATTGGACTCAGTATTTCAAATCTTTATTCTGTCATCTTTATAATTTATTCATATTTACATTGTTAATCAAATTTAAAAAAATTATGATACATTCTGACCAATCAGAATGTATGTTTCTTTAATCAGTGTCAAGGCATGGGTATATTCTTCTATTGCAAAGCCTTCTGGGGGCAGATGCAGGATTTGGCGGTACAGGTAATTAAAAGTCCACACTATGATGGTCAGGGCTAAGGTGAGAAAATTTCGAGAGTATGGACCTCTAAGTGCCTGGAAATTTTACTCTCATACTTTTAAAATCTTACCGGTACTATGTTCATAATGAAACAAATAATATATTAAAACAATACCATGCATACAGCAGTTATTTTTCTTAATACAATTTGGGGTTGTGGAGGGGATGAGGTGCAACCGCACCATCTACATTCCCTCAGCATCTGCCCATGGCCTTTTGGAAAAAAACAATAATAAATATTAATCTTTTGTTATTTTTAGTATTATTTTTACATTATTGCTATTAATATAATTACTGTTTTTGTCAATATATAAGAAATGCACAACAGGCAGTGAAAGTGAAATATGGTTTAAATTTCAAGAACATTAATTTATTCTACATTACGTCTGGGGAAAGTTTCTGAGCACCCTCTTAAAAATTATTGGAAATCAACAGGAAATTAGGCGATCGTGATTGAAGGGTTAAAAATCATTCAATTGGACATTTGCATCCGTGACTACCAACCCGCAAGTCTGTTGTTTATGTATTATTCCCAAAATGAGTCCATAGTCTGAAATTTCAATCCGACTTCCTTTGTGCATTAGAATGTTATTTTTGCCTATTTGCAGTGAATGTATTCTTTAGAGAATAGTTTTCAATTATATTATTTTAAATCCATACATATTTCCATACATATATTAAAGTGTCTCACATTCTCTTAATATCCAGTGTGAGATTCTTCACACTTCCTTGCACTGTTTTGTTTCCAACTGCAAATCTCATGCTATCGTTAACATTAAGTCTCATAAATACCATCTAGTCCAA